GAGAGAGAGAGAGAGAGAGAGAGAGAGAGAGAGAGAGAGAGAGAGAGAGATTCTCCTACTCCATGAGGGTGGTCTACTGGATTCATTGGTGTGCCTCTTACTTTATGCCGTTTACCTTGCCAACGTTTTGATCCTGCCTTTCCTATGCTTTGATTGTTGAATTCTGGATTTCCAATTGTCCGATGGTAGCTAAAATTTTTTGATATATTAGACGTACTTCTCCAGATGGTAATCTGAGAGAGAGAGAGAGAGAGAGAGAGAGAGAGAGAGAGAGAGAGAGAGAGAGAGAGAGATGCTGATCGAAGATTGCAAGAAAATGGAGGCGTGAAGCATGACAGGGAGAGATGGGGAGAGATTCGAAGCGGACTTACGGACACTGAAACATAGTATTCCGAGTCCTCTAACAGCCTGATTGAGTGTACCTCTTGGACACAGTGGGCGCTTGAGTGGATACAACCACAAGGAAATATAAGGTTGGTAAAAGTTCGCTGAAATTGCACGCTCGCATGATCAGATTGGCTGTGTGGTGGGCACATGGAGGTAGTCGTCGATATCATCTAATTGGCAAAAGTTATTTGTCATGGGATTTCTCACGCAAATTCACGATATTTTAGTACACTATATACATGGCAATGATGGTAACAAAGCGCACTCTAATAAAAACTCTGATAAGAAATAAGAACTCTGATAAGAATCAGCAATCACCTAAACGAATGGCACAAAGAGATCAACACCTAAACGAATGGCGCAAAGAGATCAACATCATCTTCAAGACCTTCAAGCAGCAATTCCACATCCTTGCTTGTCCATTCCTTAGGAGGCCTGCTGTCTTCTTCCACTCGCCGTACGCCTTTCTGCGACTTACACTTCTCCTTCGACCGGTTGCCAATTGCTGCTCCCCCCAAGATACTGCCCACGTTTTTTGCAATCTCCGTCTCCTCCATATCCTCATCTTTGTCCCTGGCCCTCCCCTCCTCAATAGGCTTGTCCTGCTCTGGTTGTCGAGATTGCTGTCTCTCATGTGTATGCTGCTTATCCGTATTTCCAAAAGGCACCGTGGCGGCGAGCACTGCTTCAGGAGCAGTGCCATTTGCGACCAGGTGCCTCTTTGGGAGAATGTTAAGGGAAAGCTCCTCTCCTTCAGCATCCACGTCCATTGCACGGAGTTGGTTCCGTATCTCTGCGGCGACAAGCGATCTCTTTACACCCACATTGACACCATGTCGATATCCGTTCACAGTTGTAGTAGGCCCATCTCCCGTAGAAGATGGGCAATAACGACCATTCTTTGATCTTCCTTCTTCAGGTGGCTGCTGCTGCTGGTGTTGCATACTTGCATGTGATGGTTGCCTTGAAGCCGGTTCTATTCTCTCTACATCACTACGCTGCTCCCCCACAACCCGGCCTTCGAATGGGGCACCACTACGCGCTTCGCCTTGTGTCGAAGTTCTCGCCTTCCCCTTGTCAGCCCATGCCCTTCTTTTCATTTCTTCAGCTACACATTTAGCAACCAGTCAGTGCACTAACATGTTATCATCGTTGTTATTGCCACACAAAGCATTCCACAAACGTCCTTTCTGATAATCATATCATCATAAATGACGTCAAGTATGGAGGTGGAAAGAGAGAAAAACCACAGACGAAAAACCACGAGTCAAGTTTGAAACCAACAAACAAGCAGGTAGAGTAAAGAAAAAGGTGCACACCGTGACAGGCAGCAGCAGGAACATCCTCATTGCATGAAACAGAGCACCATTGCACAAATACGAAGCACTGTACACATCACAAAGGGCGAGATCGAGGGGTGCAGGTGGAAATCTGCAGTGAAGAACGAATACTTAAGCACCATAGTAGTCCATCCATACAGTGAATCCTCCCCGGCGGCGGACAGGCGCGGCCAAGTCCGCGGCCGCGAAGCCCGCGGACGTGTCCGCGCGGACGCGCGCATTCGCGGAAACGTGGCGGCCGCAGGGGAGGGGGGTTGAAGATTCTGACGGCGCCACATGGCAGCGCTTCCCCTGCCCCACCCCCCCCCACAAAAAAAAAAACGAAAAAGATCAACTTTTGCTAGGGGGGGGGTTATGGGCGAAATCCAACGAAAATGGAAAAAAAAAACAAAACGCTTTTTTTTTTTTTTTTTTTTTTTTTTCTCGTTGATTGATTGATTGATTGATTGATTGGTGTGGGCGGGGTCGCCCCGCCCCACCTTTGATTGATTGATCGATAGATTGATTGATTTTTTTATTCAATTTTTATTTATTTATTTTTTGTTGATTGATTGATTGATTGATTGATTGATTGATTGACTGGTGGGGGAGGGGTCTCCCCCCGCGCGATTGATTGATTGATTGATTAATTGATTTCTTTATTTCTTTATTCGATCTTTTTTTTTTTT